TGTCTTTAGTGATAGTGATCTTTCCAGAAATTAATTGTAGCATTATACAAGCCTAGACTATAGAAAAGGCAAATATCTTCATGACTTTGAATTTTTATTTATTATAATAAACAATACCAAATGTACATCTTGCCTCATACAAAGGAACCAGGTCAATCAATAATTGATTCAAGGTGATAATATCACATTATCCCTGTGTGTAGAGAAATGGGGCCATAGATGTGGATGTGAGAAAAACAGGAAGCAATGACAATATGGATAAAAAAAGGAGAAAATTGTTCTTTGTCCCTATCATTCAACTGACCACATTTTAAATAGCCATATTTCCTCTCTAGTAAATTTAATAAAATCAGTATTCTCTCTAAGTTTCTGGTAATTAAAAGCTCCTGGCCCTGAGAGGGTATGGACGTACCATTACATGATGCTAAGATATAGAAAACTGGAAACAGCTCCTCAGAAGCCATCAATATCATTAGGTGGCTTTCATCAATATTGCAATATATTTTTATTGTTAGCAACTGATTATACTTTTAAAATAAAATCACTTATACCTTATGAAATTTTGACTGAACCGTGAGAGAAGTTATAGAAATTTTTGAATTTTTTTCTGCTAAAGCTAGAAACCTGGATTGGCCCAGTGGGGGTGAGGTGGGCAGGGCAGCCCACACTTCCCCCATAGTCTTTTTATAGGTGCCAGCATCTGGTGAGGAAAAAGGATGTCATCCTCACAGCATATGTCCCAGGGAACAAACCTTGACACATGCCCTCCTAGATTAAAACTAAGCAATGATTTGATTATTCTAGTGGTGTCAAAAATTATAATTTAACATAAAAGTAAGTATTATGGGAAAATAAAGTGTTTTATAGATCAGAGTTTCTTTTTCATAGTACTTTTCCTAAGTATTTGTCATTTGTTAATTTTTCTGTCAGCATGCAAAGTTTTTCTTGGAGGTTATGTGTTTACATACAATAGTACAAAGACTTACTAGTCAATTCAATCATAACTTTTCATTACATGATTTATTTTACTCTTTGCCAAAACTGTAGGCAGATCTAGGATACAATAGAACCGAGCAAAGAGGAACCCGGTGGAAGTCTGTAATTTGGGGCATACAATAAGACTATTATTCATGAAAGCATTCACACATGGGACAATAGTATAAACAGCCCTGATGGTTTGCATGTAGGAACAGGGGAAATGCATTAGACCTAGATTAGAGTTTTGACTAGCTACTTCCTAGACATGTGACTTGACAGTTTTCAGTGTGTTCTGTCATTTATAAATGGAGATAGACAACACCTGGTTCATAAGGTAGGGTGGATTAAATGAGATTATCTGTGTGAAAGCACATTTTCCACTATAAAGCTGTGTTTGCACATCTTGTTAATATTACTGCCATTATCCTCTTCTTCATGGCTAAGAACATTCTAATTTTATATGGAGTATTTGATCTTAATCATTTCTGTTCTATTCTCCTTCTGCCATTTATTTATTTCTTAGCCTCCTTTGCAGCCATGAGACCCAGTTTCAGTCAACAAGATGTAAGAGGAAGTTGGCTGGAGTTTTCTGGGAAAGAGTTCCCTCCTTGAGAAGATAAGTCCCCCTTCCCACCATCACTGCTGTTTCTTTTTATTTGAGTGCGCATGAAAGATCCTGATTTCTGGACCTGTGGCTGCCATCTTCGGAATACAAGATAAAAAGCAGGAGGATGAAAAGTTGATGTGTTGAGAGTGACAGAGTAAAAGAACTACAAAGAGTCTGAGTCTTTTTAACTTCAGAGAATTTCTGAATAAGCCCTGAACTACCTCCTTTTAGGTACCTAGATTTGTGAAAAGATAAGATGACTATTGTTTGAGCCACTGCTAGTCAGATATTCTGTTACTTGCAACCAAATGCATCCTACCTGATACTGTGATCATGTGTGCTTATGTGGGGATGTTCCTGTGAGGGCACTGTGGTATAAAAGGAAAGCACTAAATTTGAGAGTCAGAAACTGGGGATAACTGGCTCTGAAATAATAGTATGAGCCTTGACTGACATATAAAATGGGAATGATATCATTTAACTTATGGGGCTATTGTGAAGACTAAACAAAATGATACAAATGAAAGCACTTTGCAGTTGAACAAAGACTATATAGATGTAATGGGTTGTTAAATATCCTAATGCTCTTTGACTCCAGTGGAAGGGCAATGAAGACATGTAGGTAGGAAGGACTTTGTTGAATTTTGTTCTTGCCAACAATCCTGCACCCTGCTCTTATGTGAAATATGCCCAAAGGTCTCAAGCTATCCTCTCTGATCCAGCACCTTCTGGATCCCCTTTCCATACTTTTCCAATTTCTTATTGCATCTTTACCATCCCAGTAAGAAATGGGCTCATCTTGTGCCCTATCCCCTTTTGGCCTAGTTAATTATCACTCACCAACCTGGTACGTGTTACCGTGTGTCAGGGACTTCCTCTGTTACCCTCCCCACATAGCATGCGTCTGTTTTTATGAGGGCCTTAAACTAACAACAGTAGTAGTAATTTTAGGGGACTATGGCAAGTAGTCAAGGAAAACTCTTAGCTTTTTGGAGTTTCTTAGAGATCTTGACTATTCCCTTCTCTGGAAAGGACCTAAACCACATGAATGTAACCCAGTGGCCTCTTCTATGCTGTATGGCCTTGCTCCTAGCCAGGAGTAGGTAGCTGACTCAGGATAGGCCAAGCAGGAGTTGGAGAAATAGATTCATCACTCTCCAGTGCAATCTGAGTTTTTGGTTCTGGTTATTCCTGAGGCCTACCTGCACTCCTACACTTTCTATCACAATAAGAAACCTTCTCAGGGAAGCTTTTTGTCTTGCAGTTGCCTCAAGTCTATATGCTGAGACAGGGGCTTTGTTGAGGGTAGGTTACTTGGGGTGGGAAGTAGTCTTGGAGAATACAAGCCAGGGAGTTGGAGAAGTGAGGCAGGGATAGGAGAAAGCCAATAAGGGTACATTAATAAAGCAGATCCCCACTGTGGGTGACTGGGGCTCAATTTTGCTGGAGACCTCTGAGAAACCATAGATCAGAACTCAAAATCACCTGAGCAGAGGACGGGAGGTAGAGGTATTTATTATCTGACTTCTGTCTCTGTTGATTGAGGCTGGTCCCTAGGGATGTTGCTCCTTGGCACTTTACGGGTCATGCCTGCTGCTTGCCATGATCATGACGAAGAGAGGCCTAATGCAGAGAAAAAAAAACATGTTGCAGGGGGTTTTTTGGGGGGAGAAGGGGGGCACTGGGGATTGAAACCATGGCCTTCATGCTGAGCTACATCCCCAGCCTGATATATATAATTTTGTGACAGGGTCTTACTAAGTCACTAAGTTGCCCAGGCTAGGCTTGAACTTTCGAGCTTCTTATCTAAGCCTCCCAGAGTGCTGGGATGACAAGTGTGCACTAGCACGCCTGGCTGTGATGAAGGCTTTCGAGGTGAAATGCTGACAGTGTTCTAGAGACTGTCTATAGCTGCAGAAGAGCTCAGGAGGCAGAGGCGACACCAAGGAAGGCATCAACAGTGCACCAACCACCCCTCTGCAGCCACTTTAGTTTAAAAACTTTGTTCTTTTTGTGTTAATTTTAAAAACTGGGAATTGAACCTTAGACCTCACCATACTATATAAATGTTCTATTGAGCTACATCTCTAACCCTTTTTAATTGTTTTAAATTTTGATACACGGTCTTGCTAAGTTCCCCAGACTGGCCTTCAACTTGTGATCCTCTTGCTGCCTCAGCCTCCCAAATAGCTGGGATTTCAGGTATGTGCCATGGTGCATGGCTGGTTTCTGTCACTTTTGAGCAATGGCATCCTTCCTGTGCAGCTCCCCTCAGTTCTTCTCACGGAGGCAGCCATACCCATATTGGGCCAGTCCTGTGCATAAGGCATTGCTTCCAGGAGCACTTTCTTTGATATATATTCTCTAGCACTGGCTCCTGAGGGCGTCATTGGAGCAAAAGGACTATGGCAAAATGTGTGTGCTGACTGTTGGGCAAGGGGTCAAAAATGGCTCATTGCTTTTGGTCCTTCACATAACAAGAAGACTGCTGAGAAATGGTTGCTGGTCAGAGTTCAATGGCTGGACCATTCTCTCAGGGATTTGGAAGTGAGGGTCATTTTTGTCCAGTGAGTGGATTTTAAGCCTGCCCACTTTGTTGAATATTTCTACTGAAGGGAAGATTTATATAAAGGTAATTTGGGAGATGGGAGAGGTTGAAAAAGTTAAAAATTATTGATATGTGCCTTAGGATATGGTGTGTTCTGTTTAAAAAATGTTTTTCCTGGTATCTGATCTTTTCTTTTGTCATATTTAAAGTAGATCCTTCCACTTTGTTTTGTTCTGACCTGTCCTGTCCTGTCCTGTTGTCTCCTTTTCTCTGGGATCAAAGTCAATGCCACCAGTAGAGGCAGCAGAGCAGAGTGAACAAGGACTCTTGGCTGGGCAAGCACACCAGCTGGTCCATCTTCGACCATTTTGACCTACAAAAAAAGGCAATGCTGTGTAGTGCAATATAAGAGCATAATGATCGGGCTGGGGATTTAGCTCAGTGATTCCACTGCCTGCCTCGCAAGCGCAAGGTCCTGAGTTCGATCCCCCGTACCAAAAAAAAGTATAATGATCATCATTTGGTGACTATTTATTGAGAGCTGAGAGTGAAATAACTTTAGCAGTTCCTGAGTGACCAAGCTAAGATTCAAACACTGTCTGACATCAGTATTCCTGCTGTCTTCCCACAGTTTTTACTGAACACTTCTCATCTTGTGGCCTCCAGGTAATGAAGCTAAAGATAGACTTTTCCTACTTTCTGAAGTTTACTATACCCCATCAGAATATGTGAGGAAATGCAGCCAGCCTCTTCTGGAAGATTAGGAGGACAGTAGGATACCGTAGCCACTCCCGGCTGATATTTGAGCCCTGCTTTCCCCACGGTCAAACCTTTCGGAGGCAGCCAGCATATGGCTTGTATCAAACTCTATATTTAGGAAGAACAACTGTGAGCTATGACAGGAATTCTCTTTAACACTTAGCCTTAAACTGAGTTCCCCTCCAGCCCCGAGCCAGGAGCAGCTCTCAGTACCAGGAGAGACACAGAGCACTTGAGCTATTTCAGCCACATGAAAAGCATCGGAATTGAGATCACAGCTCAGAGGACAACCGGAGTCCCTTCCACTCTCCAAGGAGCTTTGTATTCTTGCACCTGGCTGCCTGGGACTTTCCTTAGGCAGTAAACACTTACAGAAAGCAGGTAAGCAGAAGAACCCAGCCCTGGCAACTGGGCTTTCTAAAAGAAATTTCCTTGATATTTAACTTGAAGTGAGTACTTCTAACTTTTTAGGCTTGTGACCAGTGGTGTAGCTTCTTTGTCAGTTCCCTGTCCACTTGTGATACTGTTACTTCTGTCTTACACATTGTGTGTCTGAGAGAGTTACTGAAAGAATGTTGAGCTAATGATAGTTTTCATTGATGGTGATGTTAATAAAATGTTCACGGTCCAGATATGCTAACTGTGACCTTGAAGCTATGATGGCCAGATTTATACCTTGTCAGCTTAAAACTGATTCGGGCTCTAAGCTCAGAAGTAATCAGATTGGGGGCAGAGAAAAGATACAATGCTAGTCTTTTGGCTTACCTACATGCAAATTATTGTCAGTGTTGTTATACAATACAAGTTTAGGATGCTGTTCTCCTTTTCTTGAATTCCAGGTTTGGTTTCAATGTGAAGTTCTATCAATGCCTTGTGCACTGGTAGAACTGTCTTTTTGAAAGTTTCGTATTGGTCACAGTTTTTCCATACTTGGCTGGGTAGAGGGCAGCACTCCTTGTCCCTGTCTATGTGGGCAACAGATTCTGAGGCATGGGACCACAAAGAGATTGTCTTCTGTCCCAGCATATTTAAGGAAGAGTAAGTAAGGAGTTAGTTCAGACAGCTGACCATCTTTCTACACCCTTCTCACAAATTATTTTTAGCTATAGCACAGAAGATATTTCCCTTTGCGATGGAGCTTTATCCATTTACTTGACCTTTCAGAAGAACAAACAAAGCTCTTATTTCCAAATATTGATTGATTTGCCTCTGAATCCCTTCTTATTAAATTAGTGACATTAATGTTGACAAAGTTTTAGTAAGTCAAAGAGTTTTATTTAGAAGTTAGATATTAGATGCTGTCCAATCAAAACGAAATGGGGTTATATTGTAAATGACTCAGCAGACAGACCATTAAAAGTCCCCTCGGACTTGCAGAACTGCCAGGAAAACTCAACTGTGCTCAGCTGGCAAGCATTTCCATTATACTATAGGTTTTGTAAAAGTCAATATATGCCTTGTCAAACTTTCGATGTTTTCAAATTCTAGCCAGAGCCAGGAGACAGAGTAATCAAGTGCTGTAAAGACTACTTCTTTGGATGAAACACAGTAGTCCCAGGGGGAGAGGAGTGTGTATCTAAGGCATAGCTCTCTTTTTTTGGTCCCTAGAAGAAGCATGCAGATAAAGAGAGAAAGTGCATCCTACACTCTACATCCCTGGCGGGGGGTGAATGCAGGGCTAGGGAAACAGCCAGGGAACACTGTCTATTTTTATTCATCAGTGTGCTTTGCCCTGATTTCTCTGCAAATAATGGGGACAGCAGGAACTACTGCTGGACTGATTTACAGAATGAGAGCTGGGAGCTAACCAACTTTCTATAGGTGTCTCTATTAAAGATTGATATGGATATTAGGAGTTTCATATGCAAACGAGAATATTCTAAAACTACACAGGAAAGGAGCCCCATCCATCAGTTAGGTTGAGAGTTTCAGAAAAAAAAAACAACAACACAGCAATGCAAAAGTTAGTTCATCAGTCAGTGAAAAAACAAAATCAGTTTATTTTTTAAATCAATGCAATATAAATAACACAATCATTTATTGTTTACTTTTTAACCATTCAATCATTTATTGCAAGAACTTAGAGAAATTTCCTAATTCCCATGCTTTATCTTGATGTTCAGTAACTTTTTTAAAGTTCCCAAATAATACTATTTAAACCTTAGTTGTCCATACACAGAGAACACTTTATGCTAAGATATTTAAAGTCCTATGAGAATTTTTGCTTTACATGACTTCTGTTAGCTTTTGAGGAATGGAAACATTACAAATTATGACACTAAGATATTCATTTTGGAATTGAGCTGTGTGCCCTAGATCCAAAAATTAAAAATCCTTCATTTCCCTTTGACACTGCAGGAGAGACAGCAATCTGTCTGATACATTTCATAGAGCAAAATGTATCCTTGATTGGTCAATTTGTTGTTGCTGTTTAATTTTTTAACCATATTAAAAGAATTCGACCTGGGTCCTTATGTGTAGAGGCTATATCTTTATATTACCAAGACATTAAGGTGAAACTTTTAAAAAAAGCTATTGGTTTCCTGTATATAGCTCCCCAAACTCTATACTTGGATACACTAAATACAGAGGTGCTTTTTGTTTTGTTTTATCTCAGTGCTGGGGATTGAGCCCAGCATCTCATGCAGGCTAGGCAAGCTCTCTATCGCTGGGCTACACCCTGAGTCTTAGAGGTTTTAAAAAACATGAATTGTTGGAATTCATATAATAGAGCCTAAGACTTTAAAGATCTAAAAAGAAAAAAAACCCTAAGTGTTTCATAGAGTTCTTAGATCTTTTGTCTCTACAGGTGTTAAGGGTTGCTACATCAGTTCTTCTCTGTACTTAAGGCTGTAGATCAGTATAGGACTCAGAAGTTATTAGCTGTGGGCAATGGCAATAAAACAATAAATATCTGCATCATGCCTTTCACAAGGCCTTTCCAGCAACACTGTGTCATTTTAAATATGATTGCCACCTGTGAAACAGGTTAAAAGAATCAAAGGAAGAAGAAATGAGCCTAGAAATGTTGAGTAACATTGCCCAGGTAACATAGGACTTGTGACAAATGCCAACACCACTCCCTGTGTCCATTTACTCATGTGTTAACACATACACTTACCAGACAAGAAAGAGAACTCAGTCGACCTATTTTATAGTTTGGGTTTAGAACACAGCGTGTTTTTTAATTTGATGAATATTTAACTTTTCATTTGATCCTGTCAATGTTTAATAGACAAAGCTATAAAAACAGACCAAAGCTGAGATATTATTCCCTATTCTATTAGCTCCACAGCCTGTGTCCCCAAATATCTTCAGTCACGGTATCTTAATCAGGTCTCATGCGTTGCAAGAAAGCAAAAGTCTTTTGAGAAGAAAGCACCTCTACATGTTGGGGATCTGCATTCTCACAGAAGTCCTACTTGCCTTCTGACACTGTTCTGTTGAAAGAAAGAAAGACAGGCAAGACATGGTCTGCTGTCTGTGTTTTATAGCTCGGACTCTGTGTGAGGCACCCTGCAGAGGGTCTGGACAGGACGCACAGAGCTGTGAGAAGAGACTGGAGTGGAGAGCATTGCAGTAGTAGGGACGTAATACAGGCTACTTCTCTTTGGGTGTTCAACAAAGAGCAGGCACTTTCAATGGACTCACCACCCTGGCAGCAATGATTTCAGATCAAAAGTTCAGTTTCAAGTGGAGAGGCTCTGAGGCCTGAACAAAGGTGTTTTATTCCCGCCACTTCTTTGTTTTGCTGCTCTTGGCAAAGAGTTAGGAGGGCAGGGAAGGAGATGATAGGACCTTTCAAGTTTCTGATTGCCTATCATTAGTATCAGGGGCCAGGCATCTCAGCATTTCTCCTCCTGAATGATTTATTGGGGTGCTCTAGTGTTCCCTATCCCCAAGGCATTCGGAAGGAGAGTCTCTAAGTAACTTTGGAAACTGAGACTGAAAGAATATATGGCCAGTGAAAGAGGTGACTGCCCAGTTGAATTATGACTTAAATTCTAATTTATCAAGACTGAGAATCTGAATGCTGCCACCTCTGATAGTTTCTTACCTGTTTTTTTAGGAATAAGACTGCGTGAATATGTCAAAACAGCCAGTTTCCAATGTCAGAGCCATCCAGGTAAGAAAACATGTTTGTGTTTTAATGTCACCTCTATGACTTTTAGCCTGATTGTTTAATAAATCATACTTATTGTGATTGCTCACCTCCAACTGATAATTAACTTCAAGAAGAAAAGAAAGTTCCTCTTTATAAGACTTGTAAGGTATGATTGAGAAAGGATATAAGACTAATTAGGTACAATGGAGAAAAGAGAAGCTATTTTTGCGTAAATGTCCTGAATTGTAAAACAATCAAAGTTTATGAATGAGAATTATCTTCCACAAAAATGTAGTGTGTTCACAATAACCTATTATGTACTTTATACCTAGAAGGGAGGAGCTCAAAGACTCCAAACATAAAGCAATGATAAGGAGAAATGAGAATTACTCTCAAACAGTCCACATTGTATACTTGTATTAAAATATCATGCTGTTAAAATATACTATACAACATAAATATTTGCAATTATTACATGTTAATTTTAAAATGTAATATGCTTTTTGATTTATAAGTTTTTATATACTCATTGATGGAAGATGGAATATTCAAATTCCATTTTATACCCAATTAATATAAGGATATATGAATAGGTTGCAATTTGTTATTTCATTTGTTTCAAATATCTCTTTTGGAACTGTGGGTGTAGCTCAATGGTAGAGTACTTGTTAACATGAATGAGGCCCTGGATTCAATCCCATGCACCAAAAATAAAATAAAATACATCTTTCTTTAAATAATATCCTTTTGTAGTCAAGTGTTTTTCCCGAGTCTTCAGTATTTATTTTTTAAAGTCCATACATTATTAATTCTTCTAATGCCATCCAAGCAAACAAATTTTTTGGTTGTTTAAATTGACTTAAGTGTCACCCACAAAAAGGGGAGAGGGAAGCAGGCATTTTGAAACAAAAATACAATTATTAAAATAACTTTCAGTATTTGTTTTTACTCAATATCTAATTTGATATTTTTCTTAAGGGCTCTGTATTTGACTCTCAAATGACTCCTACCCCGAGACTCTGGGCACAATGCTTTATTGTAAAATTCCATCTTTCTTTTCCATCAGTATGGAGCCCATCTGTGTTTTCTCCAAAGGAACCTTTTTTTCCTTCCTGAACTTTATCTGAATACTTCAGGACATAAAACAGTCCCTGAACATTTTAGCTTTGATGCACCATCCATCAGAGCATAAACACAGCCACAAATGGTTGACCAAGTTTTGGAGGGAAGGTACATGTGGCTGGACTGTGAACACATTATTAAGGATTTTAGAAATCCTAGCACCCACTGGTGGTGGAGGTGGGGGGAAGGACAGATCTTTACTTTGTCATGACTTATGCATATCCTTAAATTGATGGGGTTCTTAAGTGGCAGGATGCATAACAACCTCTGGAACCTGTCACTAAACAAGCCACCAAGGAGAAGCCTATGCATTTGGCAAGGATTCTGTTCCACATTGTGACCATTAGCCCTCTGGTGCCTACCTCATGGGTCTCTGACATAGCCTGACAGTGACAGTGGTAATTATTTTGTCTCCCAGACCTGTGAACATCTTTGGAGCCTTTGAATCTTCTCTTTTACCCAGTGTACAAACAGTGGCATGGATTCTGGAATCAGATTGCCATCTTGTGTTAGTGAGGATCATGGGAAAATTACTTACCTCTCTATGCTTCCATTTCCGAATATTTGAAATGGAGATCATAGTAGTACTCATCATCTAGGGCTACATGTATAAAATGCTGAAAGCAGCTTAGTAAGTGAGCACTCATTGGAGATCAACAATTATTAGGATCATTCAGGAATAATTTATGTCAGAGTTATGAGAAATACTACCATTTTATCATTACACTTACATCTCCTGAAGTGCTAAATATTAAATTTCCTTTTTCATTTTGCAGTACCCCCAAACATGGTCTTTTTTTTGCTTCTTTTCCTTTTAAAACTGAAAGTGTGTTGATTTGTCTTCCTTATTGCACTCTGGCCTCACTCAAATCTACACTGAAAATTCACCAACATTTTATTTTCTCAATTTGACCTTGATATATTTTTACATCTGTAATATTTAAAAAGCTGCTATTGATTATTCTCAATAGTTGTTATTATGCTGCATTGTAAAAATATCCATCCACTTTCCTAACAAGGGCGATACAGTGATTCCTTATGGATGTGGTTTTGCCTCTTCCGTTATATTTTATGCCACACAAAAGCCCAATTTAATGCACCTTCAAGTGAAATATTGTTTCTTGTGGCTAAATAGGATAAGCACTATCTGATATTTTCCTATCATCTTTACATTAGCTTTAAGTAGGGCACATTAGATAAAATATGAAAATGGTTACACTACACAAAATGGTTTATAGGAGGAACATTATCTAGATAATGGTCCTCTCTGAAGCAAATAGAAAACCCAGATTGATGAGGGAGTACCTAATTGTGTAAATACCATTTAAAGTTTTTAAGTTTTTTCTTCAAAACACTCTAGTGTTTCATTTTATTAGAAGCTTATCTTTAATTCAGTTCAATTATCATTTTCTGGGTGCAGAATATGTGCCAGGCACTGTAGTAAGTATTTAGGGTACGCAAAGATGAGTCGAAACCTATGTCCTGTATTTCGGAAGCTTATAGTCCCTACCTGACTTTGGGAAAGTTATTTGTTCTCTTTGTGCATCAGTTTTCTCATCTGTCAAGAAGGGAATTAATAATAAGTACCTTGTTTCTGTGAGGGTAAAATGAATTTAACACATGTAAATGCTTAGGCTAGTGTGTGGATCATGGTAATTGTTTAATAACTAGCTGTTATCATTATAACCGCCATCATCATCTAGTTCAACAGTTCTCAAAATGTGACCCTTGGAATATCAGTTTTATGGAATATTGTTAATTAGATTAAAGGTTTCCTTGAGTAAGTGTTTGGGAAATTTTCTCAGAGTCCATAATTGTTAATAGAATCATGTTATTTTTACAAGGGTAGCAGTATATGCAATATTTTCTAAACAGTGAGTATCTTGCAGGTTGTATTTTGCCATGCAGACTTCTAGAAGCAATGACTTAGAACTCTATTTTGTCTGACTTGGATATACTTAAACTATTTTCAACCATACTTTCTACAGGCAGACATTTTAAGACATGAGTTACTGCACCTTCATGTATTAGAAAACAAGGTATCAACAGGTTCAAATCTTGTGACTTTAGTTTGCCCTTCGTTTACCTTTCTGTAAAATGGGGACAGTATATTACTTCAGGGGATTGTTATAATGAGCACACAAAATAATGTGTGGGGAGAGTCTGGTTTATAGTATACGCATTCCTTAAGAGGTGACTCTTCTAGATGTCTAAGTAGTGCATAGACTGTCCCTTCTCTTTGATTGGCTCTATCTCCTCTGTGTACCAGAATATGAGGCAGACCAGAACTAGACACACCCTTAGAAGAGGTGTCTTTCACATGCATCTTGAAGAAGAGATGGCCTTTGAATTGTAAGGGGATTTAAAGCCTACTCTTTTTTTTTTTCACTATATTAAATAAATACCATCCATGTCACAAAAACATCCTGAAGGAATCAGTTGATTCTTCTGGAGCCGGAAGAGAGCCTTCGGCTCTTAAACAACTGATACATTTCTATCCCAGAGGTTGGCAAACCTCTTATGTAAAGGATCACATAGTAAATAGGCTTTGGGGATGTTTGATATCTATTCCAACTACTCAGCTCTGTTATTATACCACCAGGTAACCATAGGCCCTACATATATGAATGAATGTGGCTCTGATCTAATGAAATTTTATTTCAAAAATCAGGTGGTGGGCTGGATTTGGCCTGTGGATCTTGGATTGCCAACCCGGTTATGGACTCTCTAGGTTGCTTATTATATCCCCCTTTTTTTTTTTGGGTACCGGGGATTGAACTCTGGTCCTTGCCCTTGCACAGCAGGCGGTGAAACCACTGAGCTAAATCCCCGGCCCTATATCCCATTGTTGATGGATGGGGAGCTGCAACCAAGGTAACATCAGCACACTCAACACTAAGTCTTCGCCCTTCAGATGAAAGAATTTTATGTGACAGGTGGTGGGGAAAGTTAGAGCTGCTGGGAAATCCAATCCTATCAGTTATCTGCTTGGTGACTTTCCCTAATGAGGCCAAGTGACACTGGCCACTGGCAGCACCTGCCTGTTCTTCCTCTTTCTCCTGAACATACCCCCTTTGGGAACCATCACAGGGCTCCCCGGGGCTCCAGCTCACACAGAGCCAATCTTCTCTGGGTTTTCACTGGCCCTCTCTCTCCACCATTGATCAAAGTAAGCTATTATCTATTATTTGTCCTCTCCTGGGAGACCTGAGAGCTTCATGGCTGACTGGAAAAGAATCCTGTGTCTTAGCTCTGCTATGTGACCTCACCCACCTGATTCTCGTGATCTACAAAAGGAGGGTGTTGTAAGTGATCTCTAAGCCTTTGACCAGCTTTCAATAGCCTATGAATTTCTTGAGAACAATGTCTAAGGTTTATTAATAAGATGATATAATAGCTATAGTTATTCAGGATTTGTTTATTGTGTATTTAACACAGTGCAATGATATTTCCATGGATCATAAAGTCATGTTTGGAGAAATGAAATACCACATCTGGGATTACATAACTTGTCAGTAGGAAAGTCAGAACCTGAAATCAGTTGTTCAGTCTGATCCCAAAGCCTGTGTCCAGAACTACTCTGCAATTCTGTCTAGTGTTGTTTCTTCCCATCTGTAACTTTGGCACAGAGTACAAGGCTAGATGAGTTGCTATGGGAGATCTCAAGGGTAATTGAAAGTGCCAAGCTTACTTGAGGGAAAATTAGCACTTTATGGATGCTGGGTGGCTTCCCTTAAAAGAATTTAACTGACATTCAGAAATAGTGTCAGCATTTCAGCGAAGAAACTAATAGCCTACTGCAATTAAAGTCACGTTAAAAGCAAGTTGTTTGGAGTGAAAAGTGCAAAGTAAAGTGAATTAGTGACAAACATAGCCTTGAAATACAAGCGACCATGGCC